GATCTGTCCTGTGACAGACGGGTTTGACTCAATTATGTTCAGAATCAGAGAAAACACAGGGTGTAAGTTGATATATAGTAAATATAGTAAAGTCATTGTGTAGCAACATAAATATGTTTTTTAACAGTTTCTGAAGTAGCTCCTTCATCTCAAGCTGATGATGAATTTATGACTCATAACTCATTTCTCGTGAGCAGAAGTGAAACTGTTTCAGTTCAGAGCGTTGAACCAATCAAACAGTGAAACTGTGAGTTTGAAGTGAAAATCAGGTTTGCATTGGCAGCTTTAGTGATTCTGATCGTTTCAGAATAGAGCAGCTCCGTCTCCAGAGACCATGTTCAAACCCCAAGAGCTTCAGTTCACATTTACTGCTAAACGCAGCTGTTCTCAACTATTACAATCCATCAACAGCAGCTGAAACTTTAGTGAAGGACTTTGAAGGAAGGACACACTGATCAATGATGCAGTCGAACACAAATGTAAGGCGTTCAGAAGCTTTATTGAATGAACAGCAATGGCAGCACATTGAAAGACTGCTTGAGTATTGAGCTGTAAATCAGGTGACTGCTGTGAATCCTGCTGCTCTTCACTGGAGAAACATCAGCACTCGGAGCTCTTGAGGAACGAGGTCTCGTGATCAGCTCCGTCATGTGTTACTCTGCAGACGAAGCGCTCGCCGTCTTCCCAGCGTGCTTTGCTGAGGCTCAGGACGCTGCTGCGGCTGTAGCGTCCGTCCCGCTCGCTCTCTGCGCTGGTCTGAACCCCCTCGGTGACCTCTGACCCGTCCAGCATCCAGCTCACCTGCGCCCCCTGTGGAGAATAAGAGCTGAGCAGGCAGAGCAGTGCGGCTGAGTCTCCAGAGATCTGCAGAGAAGAGGGAGGCAGCAGAGACACGGAGGGCTTCACTGCGGGACCAGCTGGAACACACAAACACACACAACACAAACTCACACTCCAGCACTCTGACTGTAGCTCATTGTTTCAGATAATGCAGGAAAAAAACACAATAATTTCATCATTACTGTAGTTTGACCTCACTGCTTTCATTCATATTCCACATAGACACTATCCTACATTTAATCGCCATTAAATAAATGTTCACCTCTACTAAATGTTTAATGTACATCTAATTGTAAATTTAAATCAGTTTTTTGAAGCAAACTTAACATACTGTAAAAATTATAAGAATTTGCTATTTTCTCAATTCCTTTTTAAATTATTCTCAAACTGAGTTTAAAACCATTGTCCACATGCAAATGTATGATTATTTAGAAAACAAATTAATATTATAATTTATATATCAATTGTATTTTTAAAAGAGCATATGAAACACTCAGAATCATAATTATTATGCATGTTTAAAATATTTATTAAAAAAATGTTAATAACTAAATTTATTTGTCTTATGATGATGCCTACCAAATTAGAATCATTTTGTTTGTTTTATCAAACTTTTGTGCCATGCATTTCAAAGACTCTTAATTATTAACTTTATCAAGAGTTACAGACACACAATATATTATGAAATAATTATCAAACTATTTCAATCAATGAATTAAAATGCAATTAAATATTAGCAATAATAAAATGTAAAATTATTCATGTGAAGTGAAACAAACTGAAAACATATGAAATATGAATTTAAATGGAAAAAATAAATATCCTGAAATATCACTAAATATTAATATATAGTTGTAAAATTGCAGACATTATTAAATAAACTGAAACAAATAAATTCATCATGAAATGTTGGAATTAATGAATAAATAATTTTAATATTAATAATTAATATTTTCTATCTTTATTGTTCTTTAACTTCAATAACATTTTTATAATAATTGTTGGCAAATGTTTTCTTAATAAAATCAATAATAATATCTTGCATTTTAATGACAGAATTGAAGAGACTTACTGATGGTCAGTTTAGTTCCTCCACCAAAAGTGTACCACAGTGCTTCATTCTAGTGAAAGCGTCGTACAAAAACCTCCGTCACACTCCGGTGAACACAAACTCCACGACAATCACACACACTGATATGAGACTCAACAGCAGCTCTTCTCAACATCAGTGATGGATTATTGAACTAAAGTGACTTTTACAAAAACAGCCTCATCATTTTTAAATGTCTCTTGATGCATGGACACTAGTAGTTCATTCTAAATAAAAAAAGTAAATAAAAATAAAAATGCATGTATTAATCACATTTTCATTAGACATCCTAAGCTTAGAGACCAGGACAAATAGATAAGCCCCAGAGACAGACCATGTCACCTAGACGGTCATCGGCACAAGACCACGGGAACCAGTCGAGTCCTCTGCACAATCTGACTTTGCTGCAGCTTAGAATTAAACTGCTGGTTTCGTCTGGCCAGAGGAGAACTGGCCCCCCGACTGAGCATGGTTTCTCCCAAGGTTTTTGTCTCCACTTCTGTCACCGATGGAGTTCTGGTTCCTTGCCGCTGTCGCCTCTGGCTTGCTTAGTTGGGGACACTTAATTTCCAGCGATATCGTCAACTTTATTGCACAGATACTATTTGAACTGTCTGAACTGAGCTGGACGATGACATCACTGAATGAATGATGAACTGACTTAAACTGAAAATTTAGTGTTTACCATTTTGCATTATTACACACTATTTTCCCTATTTAATACTGAAAAGCTGCTTTGACACAATCTGCATTGTTAAAAGCGCTATATAAAAAAAGGTGACTTGACTTAGGTTTCTAAATGATCATGCATTTCTCAATGCATTTTTAATCATTAAAGCAGATTTAATAATAGTTTTGATGACCTGTGACCTCTGGAATGACTTTTGACCTCCTAATGGAGTTAGTAATGCAACTCCGTTGTTTGAATCATCAGAAAACCTGTAGC